GTTTCAAATATCACTGCTTTGAAATCTTTGTTAAATGCTGTAAACTTATCTTTAAGCTTTTTAACTAAATTCTTAATGGTAGTTGTAACGTAATTTTATCTGAACAAGAAGCATCTTCAACCAATAATAATATGGTTACAATAGATGATAAGTTTTTTGACCTGTTTAATAGTAGTTGTAATATAACTTTACCTAAACAAGCACCTTCGACTAATAACAATCCTGTTACAGTATTAGTTGGTCAAACTTTTGATAATTGGTATGATGTCCAAAAACATATTACTGCTTATGCAATAAATCAAGACTTTTCTATAAGGCTTCATCATACAGAAAGATGTATAAACTTTATTCTCAAAGCAAAAATTGTTTGTCACCATACTGGTATAGCATCTAAAATAAGTACTAGATTGTGAAAGACTAAAAGTATTGCTATTGATTATAAATTTAAGATAGTAATTAGATAGACAAAAAATAAATATTGTATAAGGGAAGCTAAGCTTGAACACAACCACCCTTTAGATTCTGTCACTATTATATTTGATCCTGATCACCGTAAGTTAAGTAGCAATAAAAGTATGCATATACAAACACTCTATAATAGTAGTGTACCAGTGCTGACAATTATAAATATGTTGACCAAACAGTATAATAGATACATTCATAATAAGGATATTTATAATTCCTTAAATTGCCAATCCTGTGACTATGTAAAAAGGTTGTCTCAAACTGCCAAACTATTAAATAACCTAAACAATAATAACAAATATCATATTATATATTTAGTTAATAATAGAAAACTTTATTGTTTATTTTTTGCTACCTATTCGGCACTTTCAATATTTAAGTGTTATCTGAAGATTCTGTTAATAGATTCTACATACAAAACAAATTGATTTGGAATGCTACTTTTACTTATTAGTGGTATTGATACAATGAGTATTATATTTCTTATAGCAAGCTATCTTCTTACTAATGAAACAGCATTAAATTTTTGTTAGGCATTTTGTCAATTAAAAAAATGGTTGAAGATAAGACTTTTTATGATATACAAATAGTTGTAACTGATGCTAATTGTGTATTTATTTCTGTAGTACAAACTGAATTGTTACACATTAAGCATCAAATTTGTATTTAGCATATTGAGCAGAATATAATTAAGAATTTAGTTAAAAAGCTTAAAGATAAGTTTACAGCATTTAACAAAGATTTCAAAGCAGTGATATTTGAAAC